AAGATTAGCAGACGATTATGCGGACGGCGTCTCGAGTTTCGCCAGTAGTCGCGACTGGTTTATCGGGACTGAGAATGAAAGAGTGCGTCTATAAACATCGGAAAGAGAAGTTTTCTGTTCGTCCCTCACACTACGTCAACGAAGGGAACTAGACCGAAGTGCATCATTGTGACGACAGAATTTTATGACGTCGACATGGTAGCGGAAAGAGATATGTCGATATGTCAATGCATATCGGACGACCTTCGCGTTCGCACTGTACGATTATGATCGCGTCTAATGAATGATCGTCGAAAAGTTACTTGATGTAGCGCTTGTAATTGCTAGAAATGGGATGAAAATTCTCTGGTCTCAGGACTGTTCAGGGCATATGAGTTGCCAGAGTTCGGGAACTGTTATCCTTTTGTAATGTTGGTCTGAGTTACACTCATCACTTTGGTCACATTAAGCGACTGCGCATCATATTTTAGGCTTGACTGGAAACGCGCTGTTTTTAAGTGCGGTGTATCATGTCTTGTGCGCATGGGCTTGATTACAACTCGACTTTCTGCAGGATCGTTTAGGTTATTGTCTGGGCGACTGAATTATTCTCTTCTAGCTGAGTTGATTATGATCGCGAATAGTGACACTTTGATGTCTTTTGCTAATTTTGTGTACTTAGCGACCACAGGGCATGCTTATGTTGTTTGCCCATTGGAATAAGGGTACTTCCAAAACATTATTTGTTCTGAAAGCATAGATTTTCAATCAATAGTTTTGCTGTGCATGCATTCTGCGAATAGAACTTTTTTTTTTATAATGCGTGGGTTCGCCTCCTCATTGAAAAGTGTAGTTTCACAGTGTGGGTGTTTTCACGATTTGGGTACACGGCATTGGATTCTGTTTTGAAAGATTGGATTTGTAAAATGATTGTTTTTTTAATGTCCGGACCGTCAGCGTCAAACACACGCTAAGTCAAAAACATGTTTTTTTATCAAAGGAAGGGAAATCGTTTTTGACATTTTTATATCCTCTCAAGACTGTTATGCCCGATAGTCCTTGGCCCTTATAGACGAACTCAGCATGTAAAGTCATCTTGGTTTTGCTCTTTTTTGTGCCCATTTTTTTAGATTTATTTGTTAAGTCGTCAGCGCTAGTGCTGCTGCAGCTGCTACTCGTAGTTGCATTTCGATGTCGATGTCATGTCAAGGTTTGCTAATGCCTCGGCGAGGCCAACAATCCTATCAGTCAACTGCCGGCTGACACTCGCAATCACTTAAATGCGATACCTAGAAAAACATGTTCAAAGGTAGTAATCGAAGAATGTTCGAGGGTATTTTTTATTGACACATTTGATGGCGGTTAATTGCGTTGTTTCTGATAGAAAAGTAAAGATAGAGTGAAATGTTGACACGGTTGTTTGCCTTTGATGGAGGTATGTTTGTTTTGAATCGGAAATTTAGGATGCTTAGGGGTATTTGTGCTGGGAGATGCCCATTTAAGAGGAGATTTAAGGGTTTTTTTTTCATATCAGGCTAGTCGGTTGCTTTCATAGCGTTTCACTGATTCATCCGAGGAAATTGTCAATTTTTTATGAAGAGGATGACTGTTAAACTAATCGTCAATTCCGTCTTTTCTCTCAATACTGGTTTTGGAGGAGCTGATTATTCGTTGAATGGGGTGTTTTTTTCGAATGAATAATGTCGTGTGATTACAGTTGCTATTGCGAAATAAGAAATAGCTTTCGTTCACGGGCGTAGGTGATGTCTTACTTTTTTCAGATGACTGATGGAGGGTAGTGTTTATGATCGATTTATATACCACAAAGTCCTACATTTCTAGCGACTGAGCAGAAACGGCAGACTTCGTATCGGGTTAAATGGCGGGCGATGTGCCGTTCGGTAATGTCATTCCGTGTGCTGTGGCTCTCAGATGACGTTTACGGGATGAGAGAAGAGTGTCGCAGAGGGACGGCTCCGTTCGACGACCGAATTGCATTATGTGCGCCGCCCGTTGAGAGGAAAGCGCAAGGAGGAGCAGACGGTTCAATGGAAAACAATTATGGAGCATCGCGGGTGTGTTGAGAAACGAAATAAGGGCAGACTACGGGAGTTGCGAGGAACGATCGATTCGTTCATGATGGGGCCAAATTTTAGGATAATTTATGGCCATAGAAAATTTTACAAACTCTGCTTTCACGAGTTCAGTGGTGATTTGGAAAAGTCGCAGCGCTGCCCTGCAGTGTTCCGTCAATCATTAGTATTCTCCCTCATCACATCTCCGATTTCGAAAAAAAAGGGTCGCTGGATTTCATCTAGTTCATTTTCAATTCGAATGCAAAAGTGCTGTTATCAGGTTCGTTCAGGTATCGGGTAAATAAGCAGTTATACAAGTGTGGAGAATATTTCATCAATTGGCTTTCGGCATTAGTCCTAAGCTGAATTTGGGCTTTGAGATGGAGGCAGTGGGAAGTAAGGTTCCAGTGAATTCCTCGCTTGTGGGATGCATATGAAAAATATGTATCAAAAGTGCATCGTCAGCTTCGGCCACCTGCCATTTTTCCGGATTTAAGTTGGAGGAGCGCCTGTGCCTCAGTGGAAAGGGTTGGGAAAGGCTGAAGGTTGAGCAGCTCTTAGCTCAGATCAGTTGATTGTTCTTTGCGATTTATGTAGTTTGCTAATGTCTTATGGCCACAGTCGTTTTTAAGCTCTTACAACAGTAATTGCAAACAATCGGCTGCAAGACAATAGGAGCATCCTATTGATGTGTGGTGAAGGAATGCGTCTACAACAAGAGGAGTGGAGTAAAAAATGCGATGCTATTATAATCATGAAGGAAAAAAAAAGTTACGACCAGGCAGTTTCCTAGAACAGGTCATGCGGGTATTCCTGCCGTCGATAGGTTTATGCGTGATACTTTATGCTTGATTTGTTACCATTATTCTGAACTTTAAACACATAATATGACAAGTACACAACACTCACTAAAGGAAACCACAACTTATGTTACGATTTACCTTTTCGATGTAGTGTCCAACAACGCTGTTTAACATGCTTCTAGGCGCAGAACTTAGTGAGTGAGAGTTTCTGCGCATGGAAGTGTTGTTGAACAGCGATATTTGTGGCTATATCGTTGAAACAATTTGTAAAGGATCTTATCGTTAGTAAGCTTCAAAGACCCCGATGGTGCCAGCACAGAGCTTATGGTAGTGTCTCACTCGTTGTGGCTCTTCTAGTGACCGATTTTCAAAGTTTGTGATGTGTTGGTTGGTGGTTTCGAAATATCTGCTCTTATCTGCTGAATTTTCTTAGTGATTGATTTTGTCTGGAAGAAAAAACATTGTAGAACTGACGAAAGTGTAGAGGAAATCATGTTTCTTTTTATTTATAGAAACCGTGCAGTTGCCGACTATCTCCAGAATTGCGGTTACTTGGAATCGTTACAAATTTTCAAGCAAGAAGCGAGTTTGGTTAGTGCTTCTGCTCATGTTTCTCATGTTTGCTCATGTTTCTCTGCAAATATCCCATCAATTAGCTTTTTGAATCCTTGCAATTTTGTATAGAGCACTCTTTTTGGTGTTTTCAAGAAGAGATGAATTTGTTATAATTTAACCTTGTTGATGTTTCTCTCCATTCTTAGGCTCTATGTGTCGATTATAAGAAACATTCCAGAGTGAAAATGATCACAAAACCATGAGCGGAATGTTGGAGAAGAAGTGGACGTCGGTGCTGCGACTACAAAAGAAGGTCAGTGTAACCCTCATTAATGGGCAAGAGTTGCGCATTGAAACCTAGGAGAAAAAGGTATAAACGAAAAACACTAGAGGTTCATAGTATTCGTTTCAACAATGTCGCTAAGGAGATGACTTTTCCGGTTTGGTAAATAATTTTGTGCATTTGAGTGAGAAAGCTGTCCTCGTGTTCTTAATTTTTNTTTTTCAGAAGAGCAATCGCATGTGTTTTGCACTTAAGAATAGGCTGTTTTTATAAAAAACCAACAGAAGGAAGCTCGCAGCCGATTTATTCTATCATCGAAAATGGAACAATTTTGAACTAAACTATTTTTTTAGGTAAATGATCTCGAAGCAAAGCTAGCTGAAGCAGAAAAAGAAATTAATCATGGTGCACCGTCAAGGTGAGGCGAATATCGCGGTTTTTCTTTCATTGCTTCTGAATTCATATATACTTTTTCTTGGAGCTCATACTTGGTAATTATGAAATTGTTGTCATCGATTACGGGCCCTTGTCGCACTTTCTATATACATAGCTTTCTAAGTTTGTACTCTGTGATTCCTTGAATGTGCCAGGATGCAATATCTGGAGCATGGAATATTTATTAGCTCGGAAAGCTCGGCTCCATTCCATGTTTGAACTATCCAACCATCCAGTGTGAATATCTAAGCCCTATCTGTGAATATCTAGCTGTTTATCATTTTCGGACAATCTTGCCAGAAGTGTCTTCTTGTGACCAATATCGCTCCATGCAGAATAATCGGTGCTTTTTAAGAAGAAGAATAGCGTTGTCGATGTAAAACCCGAAATAATTTGTGCAGTGTACTAGGGTTCTCTGAAACATAGTTTGTTCACATATTCGAATATGCGTCATGGATTCGGAACTCGAAAACAAAAGCAAGTTGGATCGGGAATGTTGAGCTAGTCTTTACTGGGCCTTGGACATACTGGTGTACCTCAACCCGCATGTTGTTTGTGTAGGTGAGAATTGCCTGGATCCTTGTGAACTTAAGTCGCTGCTTTGAAATTAGTGTTATATGGTGGTGCGTTTTACTGCATAATAAGAAAGAAAGTAAGTCGAAATTGTGTTATAGTATCCGATATCAAGCTGTCAATCTTATAGCGAATGACTTCAACTGCTGCCAGTGCGAGCCGTATCTAGCTTGTGAGAAATAAATCATAAGGCTTAGACCCACTTGGATTATTTTACATTTGAAATCTCTGGAACCGTTATGGGTTGTTTTTTATACGCACCGCACTTCATTTGCTATATGGTTGCGGTTTTCATGAATGCAGTTTCCACCCGTACAAAACTCTAGGTCCGATGTCACGGTTAGTAAATCAAGAATTATTGAATGAATGAATCAGTTTTGAAATTAGATGGTAGAGGTGAACTTTTGCGGAAAAGTATTTGGTTCTAAATAATTTTAGCTTTTAGATAAACCTTATACTTGTTTATGAGAATTTTTGCCTTCCAAGATCCATGTCGAAACGAAAGCTGGATTCATACTGAATTTCGAAGAGCGCTCTGTCAAACTTTTCATTTTAAGGGAGAAGCGACAACCAGCCGAGTGGATTCCACGTCCACCGGAGCGATATGCCCTCACTGGACATCGAGCTCCAATTACTCGTGTGATATTTCATCCTGTGTGGAGTGTGATGGCGAGTTGTAGTGAGGATTCCACAATTAAAGTAAGTTTCATTCGATTTTCCTTGGAAGTGCACACCTTCACCCTTTCCTTAGACGAATTGGTATTGGTTTCTTAGAGTTAATATCTGTTTGATTTTTATATGGCGATTCTGATTAATTGCTTCCACAAGTACTTTTTGAGTTTTGTGATTTATTCAGATGGGCATCTCATCTCGCATGCGAGTGGACAAAACATCTTATTCAGATGTTTTGTCCACTCGCATGCGTGCTACGTCTGTAGGAATGTCTAAGATCTATCTGGTAAATGTGACTAACGATTTTACGGCTATGTTTTATATGGACAGTAGGTTCCCTTGTAACGGTGTTCAGCGTAGTTGGAAGACTTTCATGTTTGTGCTGCTTGTCTTATTAGTGGACACTAGATTGACATCTCTAATTATCTATTCCCTGTGGAATATGCAAAATTGGAAAAATCTTGAGGCTTAGTGTATCAGTGGTGTTGCCAAGGAGAGTCGAAGGAAGATGTTGTGAGGATAGAAATCCCTCACAACTGGACAGTCGTTAGTCGTGGTATCGCGAAGCTGTGCAAATTACTATAAACAGTAGATAGAATCCACGAGTAGTGTTTGATGTAATTAGTCATCTGACCTTGAAATCGTGTAATTGCGATATGGGCGTTGTTTATTAATTCGTACGCAACTAACTTTAAGTGCGTTCAGTCTCAGCTTTTACACATTTTTAAGATTCACCGAATATGTGCCTGTTCAACGCTTGCGATGAATCACAATAGGGCGTTTCGGGCTACTATTTGACTATTCAGTGGATCAGTTTGTGTTCATTCTTTGTAGTTTGTCCCAAGTTTCCTACGTTTAAGAATAGAACTGAAATTAATTCACGAGGAAAGGTAGCAGCCGTTGTGCGCATTTTGTTCAAGTGGAACTTCCTGAAATTGCGTTGTAATACTTGATTTCACTAAAAGTTGACAAGCAGGCATATCGTTGAAAATATGTTGGTGTAAACTGAATACCTTTTTAAGAGAAAACTAGGATGTTCTTCTATTTATATGTTTTTTGTTTCAGATTTGGGACTATGAAACTGGTGAATTTGAGCGCTCTTTGAAGGGACACACGGATTCGGTGCAGGACATTGCTTTCGATAAAACAGGAAAAATGCTCGGTACTTGTATTTGATCACCTTTTTCGTCTTATAAACGTTATTTCTCAGAAATTCATGGTACATTTGGTTCAGCCGTCAAATGGAGAGCGTAAAATGGTTTCTAATGTTATGTGATATAACGCAGTGTGTTGATCGGTTACAACAGTCAGAAGGAAACTTTGCTGAAATATTGTGTTGATTTTTCGCTTAATCGCGTTATTTTTCTGCAGCACCATCAATCAAAATCAAAAGTTATCAAAGTTATAGTTAATTTTTGTTGGTATGAGCTTGAGCTTTCTCTAATCAAGCACAATTCTATATCCCTACGTTCTCCCAGACGATTTTGCTAAAACATTAATTCACATGAATAGTGTGCTTGAAAAGTTTCTTTCATGTTTTAGTGTCATGCTCGGCTGATATGTCGATCAAAGTTTGGGAGTTTGGCGGTTCATACGCTTGTGTCAAAACATTGAAAGGACACGATCACAACATTTCATCAGTTTGCTTCTTGCCCTCCGGTGATGCAATTTTGTCAGCAAGCAGGGATCACACCATCAAACTCTGGGAGGTAAAATTGTTCCAAGCAGTTCTTACTTTTCTTTTTTCTTCCTGCTCTCATTGGAACCGATATGTACATTGAACCGGAGCTAGCGTGACCTTGATACACTTATTATTGACTGCCTAGCAACAGTATGCGCTTTTCTTCGAGAGTCAAAACGTATTGTACACGAAACTGTCTTAGTCACGCATTTCCCAGTTTTTCATATAGATAAGTAAGTAATGTGAACGGGATTCCATAACTAGTATACCCATAACAGAGTATCACAGAGCAGGGTATTTCTAGTGCCGAATCAAAGCAATGTAGTTTCTTTTCCACTTTTTCGTTTCGAAATAGAATCCCAGATCGATATTTTCCATTTCAAGGCAAACATCATTGCCAGTTAATTCTGATCAGACCTCTTCCGTTGGCTAAAAGTGTAAAAATTCTGACTTACTCATCGGCTGCTTTCCGCAAGTTGAACTGTAAGCCACCTACGTAATCATACGCCACTGCAATGAGTGTTGAGTGAGTGGGCGCATCTCACAAATGTGAATAATGAACACCAAAAACATCATGCTTTGTCTTTTTTATTTTTATAACGTTGTTTCAGGTTGCTTCCGGTTATTGTGTGCATACATTCCGAGGTCATTCTGAATGGGTACGAATGGTGCGCGTCTCACCAGATGGCATACTTTTTGCTTCTGCAAGTAATGATCAGGTGAACAGAATGGTTACATTCCATACTGGACTTGAGTGGAAATTTTGTGTAGGGACTGCAGCAATAATTTCCATTTTTCCATTTTTGTAAGGTCGCAAACCCTCACGATTTTTGTGTTGAAAAAGCATAATGACTTTACACAAAATTCCAGTGTTTCAGTAGTATATATCATCTACTGTTTTGATTTATGAGATAAGATAATTGTATAGGAACGCGTTGCCAGATAGGCTAGCTTCTGGTCGCTCGACGGACCACGTTTTGTCCAAATGTTAGCGCCTTGCTGTCGCGCAACATAATTATTTTCTTTTCAGTCAGTAATGGTTTGGTCGCTGCAATCGAAGAGTGTGAAAGCAACTCTACGTGAGCATGAGCATGTCGTTGAATGCATTGAATGGGCTCCGGACACCGCTTTGGCGCCTATCAGGACAGAAGGTTCGTTTATCCGTTACTAATTTGAAGTACCAAGATTGAAAAAGGCAAAAGTTGGAGACCATGTGTCACCCTGAGAAATTCGACGTTCTTACACCAACTTGCTTTTGAAATATCGACCTGATTGAGCTTAATTTTTCAACACCCGTTTACGTTTTCCTTCCTTATCTCTCGTCTTTGTCTGTGCCCATTTCCAACTTTATCTTTTTTAAAAGCGTCTGCTGGTTGAGTCGTTTGCAGAATTTATTTTCGTTCGTTTTGGGAAGGCCTGTTTTTGGTATTTTGTGTCAGTGGATTGCTTAACCGACTCACTGGTCTACACTGTGATTGCGTATATTTTTTTATGTTACAGCTGGTCATAAGGCAAATGGCGATCTTGGCGCTGGTCCAACACATGTAGTCGTTAGTGGTTCGAGAGATAAAATGATAAAAGTGAGTTCCTTTATCACATTTTCTGACTGATTTATTCTAATGTCGGCAACGTTCAGATTTGGGATGCTCTGACGGGTACGGTGATGTTCTCGTTGATTGGACACGATAATTGGGTGAGAGGTCTTCGTTTCCATCCTCGTGGCAAGTTCCTTGTCTCAGTTGGTGATGACAAAACGTTACGAGTATGGGATATAGCACAGCGACGTTGTGCTAAGACAATTGATGCGCATCAACACTTCGTGACTAGCGTAGGTGAGTAGTTGAGGAGTATTTTATTTCTTTGTTTATTTAGTTTTTAATTAAATCCATTCCTGCTAGAGTTGCGGTCGATTTTTCATCAAAGTAGCCTTTCCTGTGCTCCAGGTGATGATGATATTGCTTTGATTTCGCGATTATCTAGTTTAAAATTATCGGCAACGCACAATCATAGTTCGAATGCCGCAGAATTTTTCGGGGATGATGTACCGGGGTTTCAACAGAGTAGTATGCGTATCTCACCTTCCTCATCATGGCATTTGAGCTTGGTGGCGGAAGGGCAGGGAGAATCTTTAGCGCAATCGGCTGAAAGTTAAAAAGTGCTCTCCGATCTGGACACGGTGTTGTGAGTCGGGAGGTGAACAACCCACAATATTGATTTAATGCAAGTTTGCTCCATCTTTCGGAGGCTTCTTTCAAATGCCTAGGTAACTGTGTGCGAAAAAAAAGAGGTAACTTCGTTTCCCAGTTTTTCGCAGAAAGTGCTTAAATCACTGCAGTTGAGTGTGAAATTCTATTGTAAATTACGATACACTAGTTTGTCAAGAAATTCTGTTCCAGACTTCCACCAGACGGCCCCATATGTCATTACGTCGAGCGTGGATCTGACGTGCAAAGTATGGGAATGTCGGTGAGAAGTGACGTCGTTGGCAACGAGTGCTTCTAATGAATTCCACCGGCTTCGCTTTTTGTGGCTCTTTCCCGTGCTCCCAAATCAAATACGGCTATGGTAAAATATACTTGGGAATAATAAGTGTTAACGATGAGGCCAAAAACCCAAAATTGGATGAAAATACTTGTAGTGTCCGTAGTTTGGGTTTGCAAGTCTCCAATTTTGATATCCCTCATTCAAATCAAGGGTGATTCGGTCACGATCGTCATACTATGGTGAAGATACGTATTCACCAGCTTTTGTGTGACCTCTTATCTCTTCTGTGTTTCCGCTGTCTCATATATATCGCATCGTTGGAACACACACACACATATTCTCGTAGGGTATTATGCATGTGTTATCATTATGTGTTCTCCTGTGTACATCATTGATCATTTTTATAACTTCTATACTGTGCTTTCGTGTACGCACTGTACTCCTTCTTGTGGCTCCTTTCAACTGCTCTCCAAAAGTAGCAAATTCCCGTGTGCTAGCGGTAGCGTCCCGATTGACAGTTCTGCATGTTTGTCTCATATGTGTCGATTAGATATCAAACACGGTCATCTCTCTACGTGATGATTTTAATAATTTGAATCTTTGTCGTGGTGTTGTGGCATGGTGATGAAGGGTGTATCGATAGAATATGCTTTTTTATATTCTCTGAAAGCGCATGTTGTGGAGATCCAAACAATCAGAGTACTGCTGCTTGAAAACATGAACAATTATATAAAACCCTGTGCACTCCATGTCAATAATTATGCCAGTTTGTATAAATTGGCGTAATTATTGAAATGAGAGTATAATGACGTACATATAAAAATGTAATCATGTGTATCATTGGACATTTCTTCTCTTTTTCTTTTTTTCATCCAATTTGCCTGCTAGAAGGTGTCTAACATTTCCGGTTATGCTATATATCCCAAATAGGCGTTATGTTCAGGTGGTCTAGCGACTTTTCTCTCCCTATATCCACTTTTCTCTATTCATTTATTCTTATTTATCATTATTATCATTTCTATTGTATCAATTATGCGCTAATGAACTTGTGGTGTTGTTGTCGAGAAGCTAGCTTTTTTCAGAAAATTCTTTTTTCTCGTGTAGAAGAGCATCTTTTTTCTTTCAATCGTAGATTTTTTAATATTTCCTGCTGTGTTAATGTGTAAATGCGCGTCGGTAACTTTTGTGCTAAATCGTTTTTTTTTTGCGTACAAGTTTGTGGAAATTTTCAACGCACATCTGAGTCTGTATGATTAGCCCACCCAATATTTGCGTTACCATCGTGTCGAATGTTGTTGTACTGGAACAAAATATCTATTAATTGATCCGTTGAGCGAAGAAAATTCCCTTTTTTTCCGATACTTTATTAATTAATGTGATAGTTGATGATGTAAGCTTTCAGGCTGTTTTAGCTTGTTTTCTTCAATAAATCTATGCTTTTACTTGTATATGGTGTTTGGTGTATGATTTCTTCACATAGCACAATGAATGGTGGTTATGCATGCAGAACAAGAATATTCTACGGTACCCACGGTGACCGACGTTTAGCGCTATTCCAAAGCGTTCCGTCAACACTGGCTATATGCTATGGTTTGCTTGTTTCGATCTTTCTGAAGTGCAAGTTTTCCTGCAGTAATATGGATCAGTTTTGGGATCACTTACACATGCAGAGATTTAAAATACCCATTTCGTTTTGCATAACTAGACGGTAACGTAGCAGTCCCCTACGCAGTCCCCTACGTCCCCGTCTCCGCAGTCCCCGTTTGTCACACTTTTCAGAATGACTTACTGCCGTTCCAATTTGGCGGTCATTTTCTTTATTCCTGATATTCCTGACAGATTCTTGTTGTTTGTATGGGTAGAGCGATGAATCTTTTGCTTTAACCACCGCTGCCCGACTCAAAACTCTCATCCAGGCACATTCCTCGAAGTCCAGTACCAAATTAATTGCACTGAAGTGTAGGCGGACCTAGGGCAGGCGGATGTAGAGATTGTTCTGAAAATATGTAAGCATAGGCCCACTTTCTTTTTCCATATGAGCCCAAAAATAGGCGTAAACAAAGTCTCAGGAAATTCGACTTTTTTGGCATTATCAGCCAAAATGTTCAGTAATAAAGCGTATTTTTTACATGCATCCACTTCAACAACAAAAAGTTTGGAAAGGGACTTCCTAAACGCGCCACTTTTTCCTTCAAATTACCTTTCTCGAGTGAGAGTCTATATCTTACAGTAATGGCAACTTTCATTTTTCACATGGAATTTCGATAAGATTAGATCACAAAACAGATGGTATCACAGTTAGATCTCGCTTCGTACACTGCCCATTGTCAGATTTGATGCTTGTATGTGAATTTGTGGAGCAGGCACCGTCCTGGCCCAAGAATAGAAAAGTTTCCAATTTTGGCGGCAGGCTTCTAGATACTATTATGCATTTTGATTATAATCTTTCACATTTCTCCCTTGATGTGTCATGAAATCTCTATTCCAACAGTTCTTCGGTTCAGTTACTTTTCCCTTTACTTTCGTAGAACTTTAAAATCTTGCGTGCCTTCTTGAAGAAAGTTGATGATTATTTCAGGACGTCCTCAAATCTCGAGGAAGAGCTTTATAAAGACTACTTGAAAAGGCGTAACAAGGAATACGGGTATCTCCAAGAATCACAGCCGAATAGAGAGGAACAAAGTCGAAGTCGTGAGCTTGGCAGCGCTCTGCCTTCGGGCAGGTTCAGACCGATGGCTCAGCGTCAGCCGAGCGCTTCCCTCTCAGAGGAGAAGCGTAGTCAGCTGAAGGGTGATGGAAGCTACACAATGTAAGAACTATTGACTAAGTGTGTTCGATCTTTCATTTCGCCTTTACAGTTACATCTCTGGGGAGTGATCTGGAAAGCACATAGTTACTGATACTTACTAGTTACCGATTAGATATGATCCAGCTTCTCGTTATAGTTGTAAAACAGAATCGTGAATTCTTTACTGGGGTATCATTTTAAATCATCAAAGCTCGTCCATTTGAGCACCTCAACCTTTGCGTTGGCCCAAATTACTTTTTCAGGCCGGATAACATCTACCGCTCTTCTGGTTACGTCAGCCGTCCATTAGAACTTGGCGGAGATCCGCTGAGTGCTGTTCGTACATTAAAGAATCAGATGCAAATTGCTGCCGTCAAGCATCGCGCAGAGGGCCTGACTGTGCGGGTACGGAATCGCTAACTAACAATTAAATGTCACTTAATGGATGGAACAGTTTTGATTTTTACATATTGATAGGAGCTTCTGTCATGCTCGCTTACCCAACCTATGTGGGTGGCGTGTGGTAGCGGTACAGCTCCATCCATATGCTTTACATGTTTGCTATCAGCTTATCAACTAATCTGAGTTGTAACTGTTACAAAAGATGAAAATGCCGACATCGACTTCCCTAGGCTAAATTCCGACATCGACTTCCCTAGGCTATCTCGTGAAAGTTTATTGATGAGCAGGGAAAATGCTCTTTTCACCCATCCAATAGTTTAGATGCGAGGTAGCGAACTGTCAACCATCACTTAGCAACAGCTCCGTCGGCAAATTATCCTCGGAAAAGCTGCTATCGAAAATTCTGTAGCAATTCCTTTTAGACTGTCTTCATTCAGGCAAATCTATGCAATAACGCCTGCGATCGTCTGACTGCAGCCGAAAGTAAACTGAATGCTATGACTCGTGAACGGACCGATGCTCTTGTGGTTGGTGACAACAACAAAGCGCAAGAGATTTCTGATGATATGGAGAAGGTATGGATTAGGTGCAGAAACACAAACGAAAGATCACCATATCACAAGTAAATCCGAGGAACACCTTCCATATGTTGGCCATTTCAATTCTAGTTGTTAGAAAAATCCCTCCTAAAATCTCGAGTGATGCAGTAGTTCTAAGTTAAAGTCCAGTGCGTGGCGCATTATGGTAAAATGAACGTTCTTCATCGAGGGATCATCTGTCATCCTTCACTTTAAGATGTAAAGTATTGTAATGTAGAGGTGGTGTCGAGGTTACAATATCAAGGAACTGAATGTTGCTGTCGTATAATGTTGCTCAAATCAGTATGTTTCAGCTGAAAGAGGTCGCTATCAGAGATACGTATGCGGACTTATTGTTTGACAAGCATGAGGTATCTCTTCTTACTGTATATGCGTGGTAAGATAAATCGTCGCTCAGTACTGAGCTCAGAATTTGTGATGAAGCAGTGGCGATCCTTGAATTCAGTACCATATCATCTGTAGGTTGAATGCTTGTCGCAACAGAACATTTCCAACTCCTACGATTGATGGCTTGAGAAGTAGTCAGTCATTACTCAGTGCAGTGTTACCAACTTACTGCACCGCTACATCGCAAAGTCTGAACACGATGGGGTTGTTAGTGTTTACAGCTCTACGATGTTTATATGGTATTTCTCAACTAGACAATTTTATTCAGATGATGGCATATGGGGTAGATTCTGAATGGAGCTCATTGCGAAAAGAAGAACCTCCGAGGCCTGTCTCTCCAATACCGCCTCCTGCTGTCCCCAAAAAGTGATTGTTTTTGATCCAAAGAGCCTTTACATTTGATTTTTTTTAATTTACGAACTAAAATCCACACTCAGGTTTCCTTCTAGAATTTGTTCGGTTTAGAAGCTCTAAATTGTTTGTAGAGAAGCTTTCCTCACTTTTCCCCTAAACTCGTATTCAACAATTACTGGTGTTTCACCTATAATTCTACCTAATTTTCATGGCTCCAAAACAATGGGCAGCCACAACGGAAACGCAAACCGAAGAGATTGAGCCGGACTTTGAAGAAATTCCGGATAAGGAGAAACCGGAACTTCTGCCACCGGAGGCCAGTGATTTGACAGCTGCGTCATGATTTGAATGCGGTATACAATGTTCTTTCCTACGGGTAGTCTCATCGGACATAATTTCAGCCGGAAGTGAAGAAGAATGCCCGTTTGGCAGAATTAGAAGCTGCACAGAACGAAATCCTACTGGCAGCTCAACGAGATCAGCCCAAACAGGAAGATGATGGATATGATGACCCCTATCAACTGCCTGACTATACAGGGTGAGTCGCTGCTTTTACCCGGACACGGCTAACGATTTCGCTAGACATAGAAGCGCTGTTCACGACCAGTATGTGGTTGAGATACCCTCGAGTATCAGAAGAACGAAACTTCGAGTAGAGCTGCAAGTTGTGACACTTCCGCCCTGTCCGACAGTTCTTCCTCTTCCTTTTGATTTGAGATCATGTTCGAGCACTTATCAAACCGGAGCCCTATCTGTGTCCATTCTATTAAATGGATTAAATGGAAGGCGGGATCCCCAAAAAAGCCGAGTGGCAAAAACCTCAAGATTCTGAATGGGATGCCTCATGCTTTCATTTGAAGGTGAGGATTGCTGGATCATTGTGTTTCTCGCTCTTGTTGTGGCGGTTGACTGGAGTTTAGAGAGATCTGCCTCTTTTTGGAAGGATTGTTAACTACTGAAGGAAGGTCAAAAGAATGCTGTCGTAGTCCTTAATTTGAATCATCCAGACAATTGGGAGAAGGTTGTGTAATGGCAAATGAGAAAATGAAATCGCTGCCTTGCATATCGACTGACCCCACAAGTTATGCTACTACTACGATTCTTAAAGGAATTCGAATGCTTCGCGAGAAATGGGACTAACCAGCGCTCAGTCATTTGCGCTTTATCGAGACCATTGGGCCGTAATACCCCGAGAATGAAGAAAGTCTGTGCACCTATTCAGGACTTGCCAGTTTTGTGGGGAGTCCGCACCTGACTTCAAAATGGAGGGTCGCATTGAGGAGCACTACAGAACGTCTTGTGTGTGTATGACCAGATGCCGTTACTGTTCCAAAATTGCTTTGGTGAGTTCGTCTACCTATCTTTCAATAGATGATGTTGTTTTAAACAGTTAGTCTACGGTCAACACTGTTTCTTCAGGTAGCTCAGTTGGATGAACATCTCATCAATCGCTGCTCTTTTCTGGCCGGACAAATGGTTCCATGTGATGCTTGTGGAATGGCCATCGACGTTGCAGACAACGCTAATGGAATGAAACACCCAATGTGCAGAGGCAAGACGACCATGTCGCCTTTTAGGGCTGTGTCCGCAACGAGCAGTTTGGCGGGAGTGGTATACTATACATATAGGGAAATTCGATGACGCATTGAATATTAGCCAGTTGACGCTGACGTGACGTGACGTGACGCTTAGGTGTGAGTCGGAACACCCTTTTAGACTTCAACAAAGTTTGCCTTTGTCGCTGCAAGCGCGGCTTGTCGCTTGAGACTCGCGACAATCACCGAGACTATTCGGATAGCCTACTTGTTGGTTGGGCTTCGAATATATATTTTCAGTTTGAGAAACTCGATGGTGGTTGTACGACTGATTCTTGTCAACTGGTGTTATCGTTTAACGGAGAGTCTTCTGAACCGTTTATATATAGCTTGTACCGATGAATCAAACAAATTCGTCTAAAATGTTAGGACTAGAGTGAGCAGCCACACAGCTGATACTGCATGCGCTCTACGTGACTGTGTCGTCTTCTGAAGCAGTCTATGTAGTCAAAATAAACAGGTTAGGTTGAAGATCTCACCTCGAACTCTATCGGTCGACGCTCCTTCATACATAATATGCGACGAAATCGTTTAACCTCTTTACTCCCGGTTTTGCTTCACTTTTCTTTTATGATAGGTAATGAACAAAATGCCCAGCACAACACATCACTATGATTTGTAACAGAAAAGCGAAACCAATTGTGAATTCAATCGATAGAAGATCGATTGCCCGATGCCAACTCATTGCCTGGGAAGGCACCACACAGTCTTACCCACCTGGAGTTGTGGAAGCATACGAGCTCACGCTTGGACCATAGTGAATTTGCTTTTCAGGAAGACTTCCTCCAAATGGCGCCATATGGTGTCCGCTATGCTCGGTGGCTGTTGACGACACGAAACAGGTTGTGAAAGATCTTGAACATTGTTTCAGGTTCCGAATTTCTCTTTTACAGGCATGGAAAACACATTTGCGAGAGGTTTGTTACAATAATCCAAGGAGAGACGGGCCTGATCCAGTTCCTCCAGTACAACCGAATATTCCCACTGAAAAGAAGCCAACTCGCCCGTAAGTTCATACTTATCGATAAGACATTCATGTGAGCATTGAATTAGTCAAAAATTGCAGGAGTTCAACAGCATCTGCAAAGTCGGCAAGTAAACGACGCATGATCGACGCCGATAAATTGGTAGCTGCTTTGCAGGTAAGGGAATAACGTTCTCTATCGATAACTTTTCGCTTTCTTTTGGGAACTACTGTTACTTTTACTGCATACAATGTCGACTCATACTTTCCGGGAAAAAAAATTAAAAATAGGAAGTATTCTCTAATAGTGGACTCACAGGAAAGTCAATGGAATAATCACCTTTCCAGGCTGTACAGATAAAGAAGAAGGAAGCGGCCAAGAAGAAGGCAGTAGCAGCAGCAAGTGGCGGAACACCAACTACTGTCACCAACTGAATCCGGATCTCGACCACTGCTTGCTATTAAAGTAGTCATCGAAAAATCAGAGCATTACATTCACGTACAGCGATTGTGATCTTATTATGAATTATGAACATTCACAGCACTGAGAGTGTATGAAAAGCTTGTTAAGAAATGTAGAATGGGTCGGTGATAAGTTACTTGATTGAGATTGTATGCTGCTCGCGAACAGCCTTTCGTGAATGCCTAGCCGTTCTCCGTACTTTCCTAGAGGATCAGCGATCTCAATCGAGCACACAAGAGGTTGATGGCAGACTGAATTTAGCTGCACATGATCTGTGATCCTCAAGTGATAGGAGCTGTCCACGCATCCCATTAACAAGGAGGTTCATCTATAGAGGCAAGATTTTATACTTGAAGGTAACTTTATTATGGGTTATGTAAAGCAATACGGGTTGGAGCGAACTTAAAGGGAACTCCTCGTCGGGAACATAGAAGTGTGGGTTGCTTATAGAATTAATCAGTTCGAATCTTAAATAGGCACAAATTAGTGCATTTATGGTTTCTGTGCTCTGGAAGAACGCAGTAAGCTTGAAACCAAAAATATTAAAGGCACGGTTCACGATAGTTCTGGGTGATGCAAATAATAACGAAAAATGAAAGAGAAGGTGGAGAAGAAACGGCGTTCCCAAGGTGATAAAAGGCTTCAAAAAGTTCGTTCAAAAGGGGCTGGACGAGAATTAGACCAGAAAAATGAAGTGAAACGGGTGTTTGGACGAGCTATACAATGTGTGTCATTACATACGTGTGAGTCGTGGTGCGAATAGCTGACTACAGCAAGAAAGAATTTCTTTAAGTTTATTCACTCACAAGCATAAGTTTGCGAAAACACCAACAACAGCAAAAAATAACTCACCGTTTTAATCCTCTCAAGGTAGAAAACTAATGGACTGCAGCGCAAAAAGAACAGCGGAGGATACAGAATAAGAGTAAATCATCGCTTCACAACTCGACGATCAGCTAATTGCGGGCTGAATGTGTTGCGAACCCTGGACACTCGTCCTACACATCATCGGCCAATGGGAGTGGACCTCGACGAATCCGGTAATAGAGCTCATATTTTGCTCTTTCTATTAGGTTTCTGTACCGACAGCGTCCTTTGTGTTAACCTTAGGGGCCATTGGGTATTTCTAGGACGAAGTCGTAGGAACCATTTTTATCGTAAACTGTGCCTTTAGAGGCGGTACGTATGCCGCCACTCATCTTCTTCCTCCTCTTCTGCTTCTTCTTCTTCTTCTTCTTTTTCTTGTTATCCTTCAGCGCCCATTCCATTTGTAAGCGGATTCCGCTCTCCTGATATGTTGACGCCACTTTTCCCAATTGAGCGCTAGATCGGGGTGAATGCTAAGAGTTTTTAAGTCTTCGTGCAAACCGTCGAGCCATCGCTGCTCGAGATCGATCAAGATTGAAACCGATCTTACTGGCACTCTCATCAGTAGCGCGAAAACATAACTAATCCACCGAAGACGAGCTTTGCGCATTTTATCGACTGTAGGTGCTACAGCGAATCACTCTCTGATGAGGTTATGCGGTCTAATCGTGTTAGTCTGGCTGTCCAGCGCAACATCTTGGTCTCCACCGCACAGAACCAGGCTTCAGTTTTTTTGGTTGCAGGCCAGCGTACCAAAACCAGGGTGCCATCAGACGCAATTGCCGCGATTCGAGAAACCTGAATGTTGTTGTCTATGTGAACTCAGTTTCATTGATGTTGATAGGGCCTGGCATGCTCGAATTGTTGGTCAAGCACTCAGTCTTCTTGACGTTTAACCTGAGCCCGAACTTAGCCGGACCATTGGACCAGGTTGCACGTCTTGCTCGGTCGAGCTTTTGTCTTCACTGGCGAGCATCGCGTCTTGGCATAAAGAAGCTTCCATGGAACCTTCTGTAATGGCATCCATGAAGACAACAAATAGTAGTGCAGGTAACGCAGCCCTGCTTTACACCGACGGAGACAAAAAAGTCCGTTGATGTGTTTGCAATTTGCACTCGGCTCTTTGAACTAGAGAAAAGCATGCGTACTCACTCGATAAGTGCGCGACTTAAAGCCTCCTCCAAGCCTAGATAGGTAAGATGCACCGGTCTTTGTTTTTTACGATGTTTTTTTTAAGCGGCGTGTATGGCATCGAAGTTGCTGCAATCGCCTTCAAAACTTCACTTTTTGGTTCAGCTTGACGATGTCACGGATACGGCTGTTTACAATTCGCCAAAAGATTTTCATGCTTCGCATGAGTATGCTGCCTTTTTTCTTCCGGCAGGAATCGTCTTGCTCTGTTGCTTGCTCTCGACATCTTGTTCTTTGCGACGACCTGGTCCGTTAACCACTCTGCATATTCCAGCGCGCTAATTTCCACCAGTACGCCATTCAGCACCAGTTGCCTTGCCTAACTTAAACTTCCTGATAGCCGTATGGTCTTCTTCACGGTTATCGTTTGACAGGGTCGTGTACTAGGGAGTAGGAAGAGTTCGACTGCTGCGACGTTTTTGAAGTACTCTCACCATCGCTTTAGCGTTTCTTGCGGTCCGTCAAGAGGTAAGAGTTCCCACCATTTATGTCAAAAAACTTCTACATCCTCGGACTGGTAATGGCAAGTCTTTACGTGTCAACGAACGTACCGTTCACCTTCGCGAGACTCGAGTTTCTAATCTTATTTGCCGCTTTCTTTCTTAGCTATCTGAGAGCGCCGCCAGTTATCAGCTGTCTTTTCGAGAAGAAATGCAAATATGCTTTTCCTCCACACACCCTCTAACATGGTCCGTCCACAGCCATGTGTTGTCAATCGTTCGCTGTTCAGGCTTGGTCACGCAGAACTCCGACCGCGCAATCCAGGTTATCGCTTCAGCAGCACCTTTCCAGATTTCGTCGACAATCATTACCTTTATTAATAGAGCTCTGGAGACGAGACCGCTTCCGTTTTCTCCAGTCGCCGCCACTTGATTCTCGGTGCCCCACACCTTTCGACTAGTTTCAGTTTCGGCGAGGCAATCTCCAGCGTAAAAATCAGTTGTCGGCATTGTGTTGCCATCGTTTCCTGAGGAAATATCTTCCTGCTACAAGCAATGATCGCGGTGCATGACAAGAACGAACACTTTTGTTTCCGTTTGACCGTTGGACCTATGGTGATGAGATGAGAGACACGTTTTCAAAATTCCGCATTTACAATAGCGAGATCACGCGAGCCTGCATTCCCACGTGACCATTGATGACAGCTGAGACCACTAGTGCTTCTTGTAAGTGCCTGTTCTAGAACTTGGTTAGGGGGTTCTTTGATCTGTGGAGCGTGCGCTGAAAGGAATAGGTAATTTCGGCTTCGATGACGAAAATGGTCTTCATCGAGAGGTCTTCTAAGCGTTCCACCTCCGCTAATTATCGAATCACGGAAGCTTTAGAGACAATTATCCCTACGCAGTTCGTAGTTTCGGTACAACTACAGAGAACGGTTTCGAAGCCGTGGTCAATGTCCCTCCACTTACAGCAAAACCACCTCGTGCACAGCGCAGAAATCAGTTCGCGATCAGAAATCAGTAATAGTAGAGAATAAGTGACGGCGGAGAGGACGATCGATTGAAGAAAGGATGCCTCATGTTCCCGTACTCTTCTTATACATAATGTTTCACGCGCGATCATGGCGCATGTGATTTCCCGCGCAGGAACAGTGGGACGGTGTGCCGTCACTCTCTACGGCAGTTGCTTATTGAGTTACTTCTGAAGATATACCACTTCAGTAAAACAACCAACAGAGAAATGCGGAACGGTTACAGTGGATCACAGTGATTAATTTTTTTCAGCTACCTACTGTCGTCTCCCATAAACCGCTTATCTCTCGAGCCATCAACCTTGATTTTTTCTCAAGCTCAAATAGGTCCTCCTGGGTATTTTCCAGTTAGCTCTGAGCTTCTGCCTTAGCGCCGGAATGTTACGTAAGGCTGTGTTGTGACGGTCCTGAGGAATGAGATACTCGAAAGAGGTTCCTGGTACGCGACAACAGTAGTAGCAACTTTACTTTTTCGCTGCGCAGTTTTCCAATTTGCAGCCTAGGCTAGAAAGTATTAACAGCACCCTTTTTCTAAAGCTATATTCCATGTGTGATTGGCGCTTGTAATTATTGGGCACGGATCGGAGAAATCTCTCTTCGATTCCTGGCCAATGCATCAAATGGAAGGTCTCTTTCTTCGTACGCGAGTTTGCTTGCCGCGCGGATTTCTTTCTTACGCGACCAATATACCCGAGAATCATTCAAGCACCAACTATTACATAAGAAACGTTTATTTAATGTCATTAACACTGTTACGTGCAAGAAATAAGTGAACACTTCAAATAGTGGAGAATAGGTTAGGACAGCGGAGAGGACGATCGATTGAAGAATGACTTCCTTACGTTCCCGCACTTTTCTTACATAGCATTTCATTACATTTCCCGAGCCATCATGGCGCACGTGTTCTCCCGCACGGGAACAGTGAGACGGCTTGTCGTCACCGAGGGCCCCGCGTCAAGGTGTGAGGGATGAGTTGAGAATAGAAGAGTCAACACCGCTCATGGTGGCTTCCCATCACGCTATCGTCCTCCTGATCTCGACTTCTCTCGCGACTCCGACTTCTGCTTATGTTGTCCTTACGTTCACGATCACGGCGAGGAGTGTGAGTCGTGGGGGGTAAAGACTCTGCTCTGTCGTCGGCTATCCGCTTGGTAACGGTCATCTTGTAAATTCGCTTCTCCAAGGTGCTCATCTCGCGTTCCAAAGTCGACTCTCTTGCACGTAGTCGACCACGTTTCTCCTTGGGTTCGTCTAGCCTGCGCGCGAATCTGATGAGGTACCCTCAGACTCTCGCTCCTCGATTTCTGCCGCGATTTCCTTGGTGTCGCTGCGTACTTTAGCAAGTTCTGACCGCGTGTTCTCCAAGGGTTGGAGCAGTCTTTCCTTTCCATTCCTACGTGAAGTGGGCTCCGCCGAGGCACGAGTGAAGTTGGCAGTAGTGAGTACTGTAACTCGGCGTCTTCCATCGTATCGAAACGACCTTGTAGTAGGTTGGTCTCGAAGGGCAGCTTCTGGAAGTTGTGCAGCTGAAGAAGTTCCTTGGCTCGCTGAACGTCTTGGTGTATTTCGTCCCAACGAATAGGGGACGAAATACATCTGACATCGGCTGAGGACGACACGACTGTCGACCGCTTGAACCGAGGCAACCGCTTAGGACGACGAAATGACGAAACTCTGCCGGCTAGTTGCCAGGCGCGGGCTCGCTCGATGGTCTTTCCGCGCTTCTAGAACGTTCGGCCATTTGCGCGTGGGGCATCGCGGCCTTGCATTGGAGCGCGGTTTTTTCCAGTGTACCGCGGGCTCAACGGTCGCGACATTCCGGAGCGAGACAGAATGCGACGACTGTGAAATGGCGATGGAACGGCTGAAGACGTGCGACAATGCGTACGACGACTGATGGCGGGCGACTGGCTTACTGTCTGCTGACCAAGAGATAGAGAGGACTAAATACAAAATACATACACACAAATATATGATGAGGAGATCGATTAGATATGTATATATTAGGTGTGTGCATTAAGTTCCGCCGTTTTTCGCGTGCAAAAACATACTTATTACAAAATTAAACTTAAATGTACATCAACCAATGACTGCCCAACATTAGCTACAACTTCTTGCCATCTTTCTGGTATCTTGTTGACTCCGGGTCTAAAAAAGTCTTCATCTTTCGAGGCAATCCTGTTATCCACCCATTTTCGCACTTCTTGCTCGCCTGCCAGCGGGCAGCCCGAGTTCGATCCCCGGCCGATGCACCAATCTTGTCGCGACCCCGGTCCCAGGGAGCTGCTATGCATCGGCGGGGGGACTCGAGGTCACGCCAGATTGTGTGTATTTTTGGGGCTCACAATCCCTCTAGAGAGGTTAGTCGCATCAAAATGCCGAGTGACCTGCCACTGGGTGAAATGAGAGGCCCCAATCCCCTCCCGGCTCCCACTTAAGATGAATGTGATATGAGGCATGAACTGAGGATAGAGGTACTCGACGATGATACGTCTTATAGAAACCACACTATTATCATTATGAGTTTAATGGCAATAAACATATTATTAAAACCACTGCATTACAAAGGATGTATAAAAAGAGGCAGTTCAAACAGAAGAAAGAAGACAATGTACGTAATGTACGACAGTGACGTCGATCTTGCTGACATCGGCTGAAGACGACATGACTGACGACCGCTTGAACCGAGGCAACCGCTTAGGACGACGAGATGACGAAACACTGTCGGCTAGTCGCCAGGCGCGGGCTCGCTCGGTAATCTTCCCGCGCTTCAAGAACGTTCGGCCACTTGCGCGTGGTGCGTCGCGGTCCTGCTTTGAAGCACGGCTTTTTAGAGTGTACCGCGAGCTCGACAGTAGCACGTAATTCGCGACATTGAGTGAGTGCGTGTCGCGCCGTGAGCCGAACCCTCCGCCCGTCCGATCTCGCATCGGGGCTCCGACGGGAAGAGTCCAGTCACAGTGCGATTCGTGAAAGGTCACTCTGACACGTTTGACGAGGAACACACAAAAGTTCCCAACTTCTTCGTGTGATAGAAAGGGTGAGAGCAACATAGAATGACGTTAGCAATGAATTCTTGTTATTACGTCAAACATGTTAACCTGTAAAATACACGACAATAGTCACTACAATAGTTAGGTGTCCTACGCCGGCTACTACTCGATACATTATGAGAAATAAGATCGAACCCTGGACTTAGACTCACGAAAGGGGGAGTACGCGGTCCATTCCATTGTCTTAGTGATATTGACATGCAACGATACAACGATAATGAAATATACGCAGTCTTCTATACGAATACGACAGCACGGTAAGCAGAATATCAGGACCGATACGCCAGAGAATTAACATTACGACGAGGGGGTGACCGGGTAGGCCGTGACGGGGAAACCGGAGACTACGCTGGACGTGGTAGTAGCAGCGAACGAAGACGGACGAAGACGATGTGAAGACTGTACTAAGACTGAAGCCTTTTTTGGGCTCGGTGGTGCATGGACCATACATTGGCTGCGTACGTTGTCTGCGCGCTAGGACCCGCGCACGCCCAAGAAAGTGTGACCCTTCAATAGAGTCGTACGCAAGTCACGACAGTGCGCAGTGATATTTGATGAGCGTATAAAATACAAGAAAATAAATGAGCTTTTCTGAAGTGTAATAAAGAACCTTATACAAAGCATAATAAAAGCGTGGATTGCGTGAGGACAGCGTGGAAAACATCAAATCAAAGACAATTGGCTCTTGTCCTCGTTCTGGCGTGCTTATTTATGCGAGGCATCGAGCCTCGCGCAACGGGATTGTGGCATTTTGTTTTGTGAGAACAGTGAGATAAGGGATAAGAAAGTTGAGATAAGGTAATGTTTCCAGTCGCGCACGGCTCGATGCGCCGAGATTGCAACTTGAACCGCGTTACAATTGCAATAAAGAAACTGAAGTCGCGAGATACATTGCTGATGAGTGGCGACTCGGCTGGACGATGGCGGCTCTTTTGCTTGGCTCGTAGTTGCACGTGTGATGTCCTTAGTCAACTGTCAACTGCGAGGGGTCTTTGTATTATGAGTTATGGTCAACAATGATTGAAAATATAGAAAATTATAGAAAATTGTGTGATATTGGAAATTATAGAAAATTGTGTTTACCGCGATACATACGCGACATGGACTGTTGAAATCGTAGAGTTATGGACGTTTCCACATCCAATTCTCGATGGTCCTATTGAACAGTCCTAAGTCGTGACTTATTTGTTGTATGTTTCTTGTTGAAGGAAATATGTGGTCTGCTTAGCTACGACGATCTTCTGTCGCAGTGAGATGGCTTCCTCAACAAATCGAAAGTAATTGGCCGGTACATATTTTACAAGTGACAATGAATCTTGGCATGTTATGTGTCTCGATGTTATTGTAAAGTCTCAACCAGTTATAACTCTTTGTCCGGCCAAAGTTCCGGCGTTGTCGCCTTCGCCAGAGCCGTGGATGTTGAGAAGATGACCTCCGCCAGTTGATGTGCAGTCGAACGGAGAAGATTCATTAGTGAAGACGAACTGGACACCAGAAAATATGAGCTGATATGCTTCTTATGTTTCCATGAGCTGATATGTTCCTCGCGTTGCCTCTATCTCCTTCTCGATTGGCCGTCAGCAGTGTCAATTATTTTATCACTGACGAATAGCTCGACTAGAGCTACAAGTTCTATAAAATTTAATCAGCACGTTTACAAGTTGGATCTCAGAACTCGTAATGGTGACTTCTGACCATCACTCAGAACAACATGCAACAAATGAGCACTTAACAGAGAATAAACAGAATAGATAGTGAATACTTTCGAACTTGAATACCATTATAGTAATAGCCGCAAGATAGTAGTCACCTTCCCGAACAGCATGAATATAACCACAAATTTGAGTGTGTTTTGCGCGCAGCTATCGGCGAGGATAGGGGCGGAACAACGGCAACGTACCAGAGGATCCCGCCGCGAAAGGTTGGCACTTTGCCATGGACGTGCAGGAGCAAATTTTTGCATCGATGAACACTGCGAGAAAAGCTTACCTTTGGGAGAATAGTCGGTTATGTACTGTTGCATACATTGTGGAAATTTCATTGGAAATCCTTCCAAAACAACGAAATATCCTTTCCGTTCCTTCATGCGTTTTTTGTGTGCTGTTTTACAGTAATTAATGATAACCGTCATTTAGGAATTTATGCCGCGCTCAAAAAGGGATAAGGAAGGTGAAATGTTATCACATAATTAGCTTAGCTTTCTGTTCTGCAGTATCTGTCTGCGTTTTGCCTAAAAAATTTTTAGGCGATTTTTTCACATTATGATGTTTTGCATTTCAGTTTCATTAACGAAGGTGAAGAAGAAGACTCGTGAAGTGAAAGAGGCACTTGTTAAAGAAGTACGTTTTATTCTTTTTCTCACAATATTCCCCCCCNCCCCCCCCCCCCCCCCCCCCCCCTCCCCCATATGCAATGTGATGCTTTGCTCTTACCTAATCCAATCCTTGCTTCCTCTTTCCTCCTGAGTGAGGGCTCGTTTTATTGGTGGTGGAAAGACTGAAGGATTGGTTTCTACACGTGGATGGCGTTATTACTTGACGATCATAGTCGCTTAACCCTGGTGCTCGGTGCCTTCACTCCCTGTCCATTATCACCTTTTCCACCCATTGACCCTCCGCTTTTAGTAAATTTAGAGGTTTTAAGACTACTCATTTCAGATCCGTCACTCTGTAGATAAGTATAAATACTTGTTTGTATTCACTATAGAAGATATGAGAAGCACACATTTCATACAGGTAATTTTAATCCAGTTGTTGACTTTATTTTTTTGGGACCTATAACTTTACGTTATCATGTCATTCTCTTTTTTATGAAATCTGAAAGAGTTTAATCTAAGGTGCGGCAACGTTTCAAAACGAATAGCAGGTTTTTCTTTGGCAAAAATAATGTGATGGCTGTAGCATTGGGAAAGGATGCATCTTCAGAGTACGCACCAGACCTGCATAAGGTTAGCCTTTATGCGTTTTGTAAGGACTTGTTGACTAATATTTCTTTTTTTAGGTAAGTCAGCGATTACAAGGACAATGCGGTCTTATGTTCACCTTGTTATCAAGAGCTAAGGTCAACAGGTGAGATTGCTTCTAACAGATCTAAGCTAACGCTGTTGGAAGCTGGTGGAGCATCATAATGCCCTATCTCCCTAACCTCTTAGCTCTTTTACCCTGGATCGATAACTGCTCCAGGAACCATTGATAGCTTTTTTTATAGAGATACATTGTTTTCAATTTCAGTATTCTCAAGGAGCTGTCTACTCCTGATTTTGCCAGAGCCGGTCACATACCGCGAGAAACGATAACAGTCCCAGAAGGTCCTCTCCCACAGTTTTCATTTTCAATGGAACCGCAACTCCGAAAGTTGGGGTTGCCAACAAAGCTTGACAAAGGTTTGATGTTTCGATTTGTTTTTATTATTGTGGCCTATATGATAGAAAGGTTATTACAGCAAAATAACATTTTCTCTTGAATATTATCCATTTTTGCTTTTCACTCTCTGACCAACTCCGCTTAAAGCTCTGAAGACTATGCTAAATGACTGTCGTACACTCATTACTCAATTCTCGTTTACCTACTGGTTTGCTAATTTTTTACATGCCTATTTGTTTACCTTTGATGTGCGCGGGACTATATCTCCTTCATCATTTTGTAAAGCGCTTACCGTGAGCAACGTCTTTGGATGGAGACAACTAGCCTTCAATATTTAGCATGCCTTGGAATCCCAACGTTATCCTTGAGGTGTTGCTACTTCGCAGCGATAGTTAGAGTTACAGATGTTAGCTATGGGAAACATTTTGGCCAGTTTTTTTTTTCAGAACACCTTCAACGTTTTTTTTCTTTTGAAAATACATTTAATTCATTTCACTTTAGTTAATTGATTCAGCATGGGTGTATTCTGAGGTCAGGGTTTTATCCCTTTGATGTTATTGGCAAGAGTGGGAATTATTTTCTCCTTAGTGTCAAGTGCTGCTCAAGTTTTGGTTCTAATAATGAATACACAAAATAATATCAATTAGCATGTGATAGAATCTTCCAAACGAATTTCCACTTCGATTCATTCGCGCTTTTCTTATATTTCTCATTTCTAGGAGCAATAGTTTTGTACCAGGACTACGATATTTGCAAGGAAGGAGAGCCTCTCACCGCAGAGCAAGCAAAGGTGAGTACTATACGTTTGTTTTTTAGTCAGTTTTAAGCGAGTCCATACCGGGTATGTTGTCATTTTCTAACGAAAGGAATGGCACTATTATTGATTCAAGGTTCCATAGTGAAAAGTGTTCCCAGTCCTTAATAATCAACGATAAATCAACCTTCATCAATGAGGACTACAGCTCAAGTTGATAAGTCTTCCACATGGTAAATAATGGTTAAAAGCGCGCTGCTTTCGCCTGCAACCTTTGCGAAGTGGAGGACTCATTAACTTAGACGTACTTTTATGTGCTACTTATTTTGAACTCTACTATAAGCTGAAGAATTGGGCTAGGGGGACAGCTCATTTGCTCAAGCGTGTGTTGGTAGTATCGACTCGTCGCCGTATTACTTGTTATCTTAATTATGCGATGAAAATTGTATTTGTGGTAGTCTTGCTAACGTGTCATGCTAACGCTAATGTTCTACGACGAGAGAAGTCTGCCTAGTTTTCATGTTATACATCCATTCATTATTTGTACTGGGCAATCAATTTAATACCTATATTTTATCATTCAGATCCTGAAACTCTTTGGTCATAAATTGGCTGAGTTCAAGATTAATATTGTGTCCCAATGGGATAAGGAAGACGGCTATAGAATTGTTCCGAAGAAGGATAAAAAGGAGAGGTTGGACAGCGTAACTGTTGAAGATTCCTAGTTTTTGTTACTGCCTTCGATTGTTACTTTTATTTGTTCATTGTCTGTTGCGTTTCTATATTTTAAAATTTGTTGCATTCTTTGTTGAAATATTACCTGTTTGAATGAAACTCTTCGATCGTCTAGTTTGAGACACTTGACCTTTCTTTCGGATGAATTATTTTGATGTGTTGCATATTTTTGGAGCTATTGAGTGAAAGGACTAATAGCTACTTCTTGTTCCATAGCTGTTCTGGATAACTTACTCGGGACTAGTCTCACCTGCCTCGCATAGGTTGGCCAAATAACCTATGGAAAAGTAATTTTGGCTTCTTAACTATTTTTATCGCGGTATCGTGAATGCGATCCAGTCTGTTTACATGGTGGCAGTACACACTACCCTATTACATAGATACCACATACAGTACGTGCTGATTAGGGCGATTGTAGAAGCCTGGTACCCCAGTCTTTTTTGTGTTCGTCAACATTTGGATCATCACTGACAACGTATCTGAAAGTGGATATCAGACAAAGCGATATGTAGCTGAAATTTCTCGCATATTCCGCGGTTTTTGCCAGGTTAAAGGTTAAGGTTACTCTTTGCTTCCGAGCATTCATTGACCGAACCGTATGCTAGCTCCATTGCTTCGTTCATATTATAGCTTGCTAAATATAGACGAATCACCGGAGCCACCTCTTTATTCATGCCATTCTTACTCGGCATACGTACCTCGTCCCACCATTGCTGGCTTCTTTGCGAGCTTGCCTAGCCCTTGAATTTTTTAGACCCGGTTCCGATACTGCTACTCGCTGCTTTTGCGGCATCTATTACCGCACCGAACAAACTTCTGAGCCTTTTTCCAAACACTGTTGCAATACGCGAACTGTTTCCACGGTAGAGGCGGACACTCTCATAATGATGGATTGAACTTTTTGAGCATAACCTTTATTACCTATTATTAATGTTATCTAACAATGCTCTAAAAGAGAATATAAGGGAGAATTTACACTGCGTTTGGCTTCGAGCAGGGCGAATCTCATAGACGCAGATAAAACTCGCATACATATGATACAAGTCAACGATAAAAAAAAACTGGGTTGAACGTCGGCTGCTAAACACCGGCGCTATTGAAACTATCGCACGGATGGCCTAGAAAAATGGCAGCCTCAGAAGGCTCACTCAACATTACGAGGTAGAAAAGAAAGGGAAAGAAGAGTACTATATGAAAATAAGATACCAAAGCAAAAGAATAATCTATAGAAAAAATATAGGAGTGAAAAGCAGTTGAAAAAATGTTCCGAGTACAGGTAAAACTATACGCTATGATTACACGAGTAGAAGTGTTGCCAAACGGCCATCATGAAGGCTGACAATTCGAAATACGTCCTCGATCAGCTTACGAAACGATAATGTTGTGTTGACAGTAAGTTGACGAAGTCTGCACCGATCGACGGAAAAGTGCTTACAGGGGTGAAAATACTATTACTACTATCTACGCTACTAAATCTATTACACTAGACATGAAGTAAAGTATGAGCTATGCTAGAAAGGCGCCAAGAGAGATTGGCGAAATCGACAACATAAAACTCTGAAATGCTTGGGATTCGCCTAGATATTTTGACCGTTTCACGTTTAAAATTGCGGCGATTCAGGCGGAGTCGTCTGCGCACGAAGGGCCTCACTCGGCGAGTCTGAAAAAATCTGAGAGCTCGATTACATGTCGATTTCTGGACAAACACACTAACTGTTTATTGGACACACTAACTTACTTTTCGGATGGTCGTTCGATACACGCATTGACTGAAACTGACCATTAAGCGACATAACAGCACGCGGAGCTGCGCGCACAAAGCGCCCTCCCTGAAAAGTTGAGGAGATTCGCGTATCCGTGCTCACGGATACGGCATTATGAACCCCAATCGGTGAGATAGAATTACAGATCCTCGAGATTCTAATGAGTTAACTTCGATTACTGCTACTCCATAGCACTACGAATTCCTTTCATGCAACCCTTTTTGTCTAACTACTTGAAACTCTTCGAGACCGCAAGTCAACCTCCAACAAACCATGCTTCGGATAAAGCAATCTGTAACCATATGCATGCGACATATAATGAAATGCTTGCCGACCGATCGATGTCGTCTTGGTGGCCTTTTCGCATTTCTTCCCGAAGAACACATACGGTTGTTATTTCCTGCCTGTGCGTCAAATCTGCAGTCATCACACATTGCTTCCGTTGGTATAGCTGGCTGACCCTCTCCACGATCTCTAGATGATTCCTTAAGAACTGCCTTCACATTTACAGCATCATCGCAGAACATGATTGACTTTCTTTGGCTATCCTTTCTGTTTGGAGGTGAATCTTCAAATTCTCTTTTGAGACCAGCATTCCAACTGTCGGCGGAGCTTTCCTAAAATGCTACACAAACAGCATGCACAAAAACACAAAGCCCTGCCACAGCTAGCCATTGCGTACACTATGAAGCCCTTTCTAATTGGAAAGCAACGTCCGGTGATTACACTAAAGCTCTTTGACACCACGAGAATTCATGAACTTCTACAGCTGTAATGATTGGAAAAGTTTAGTGATTTACTCGTGAGATATCAATAAAAATCAAATTATCAGTGGAGTAGCCACCTTCAACACGAATTCGGGCACCGTGTTCACTGAGGTCAGCTGTGGCAGTAGTGTCATAAAGCATCGCAATTCCCAAAGAATGTGAAATGTACTTGCACACAGATCACCAACCAAACAAGGAGAGCACAAACAGAAACAAATCATGCAACATGCTTGCATAGTGGGGCGCGGAAAGAAGAGTCCTTAACTCAGAAAATAATTGCATACGTAAGCGTAATAGGTGACCTTTGGTTCCACTCCTAACCCGCTTGCAATCCGCTTATTAGCATTCGAACGGCCAACAAAACACAACCACTGCAGTTCGGCAAGGCAAAATTCACAGGCTCAAGTTCTTCACAGGAGCACATTCAATAAACAGACATGCACCACACAAAGCGCTTATTTTTGCGTCTACAGTCAGTTACCACCTCCTGCAGTAAAGTGTCAATGTTGTGTAATGGAACTGGAGATATGTCAAGCCTGCTGCAAAAAGAGTGTAGAGGCTTAGATAACGTGCATTTTAGGAAAGCAGCTTCTCGAAACATTAATCTGATCGCGATTAATGAATGAGTTCACTATGTCGTTGAACAAGAACGTATACCTCATACACCACCTGAGGAGTGCTTCCATGATGCGGTGAAGGCGTGAAGAGTCCTTGAGCGATTGGTGGTGAGTCGTGCGGGTGTTGTTGATTCGGTGGGGGTGTGTATTCGTGAGCACCGTACAGCGGTGTAGCGCCTGGGGGAGCTCCATTACCGTACATCATCTGCATGTTTGCCGCATCGCCAGCTGCGGCCATTGGAGTGTTATTGTAGTAGAATGTCTTAACAAGGATCATTTCAAACATCGAGACAAGAAATACATTACGCTTAAACCTGTTGGTATGGAACTCCATGACCGTCTGGAGTGGAGAAGTATGGCGCCGAGTGAACGGAAGCCATGTGCGAATTGTAAACATTTGTAGGTGAACCACGTGGGTGCGCAACGACAGTTGGGGTTACCTGAAACTAACTTCCATTCGAAAGGAGAACAACGAGCCTCTTCTCGTGTACATGCCCACAAAAAGGGGTACAGCTTTGGAAATGCATAGAAGTAAAGAACATTATTTGTTGAGCAAAACACACATTAGATCGAGTCTATGAATTTTTTTTGGCCTCAACGCACATCTCCACAGTGTGCAGCGTCCAAGAAATGGAAACTCACAGGAGTAGGTGGCGCTTGTGGTTGCAGATACACTGGATATTGGATACAGGGTTGTGGCTGTTGAACAGGCACTGGCGCGGTAACCACAGATACTGAAGAGCTGGCAGCAGTAGCAGGTGGCGTAGCAGGAACCTTAGCCGCTACCGGCACCACCACTTCAGCATTTTGAACTGGTGGCTGGTTGCGTGTGGGAGAACTGTCGGGAGTGGTGACTGTAAAAAGAGTTGAAAATAAATTGTCAAGCGCGCTGCGCAAATTTTACCTGCTCCGTTTGCACCTCCACCAGCTGGTTGCTCAGCATTAGTGTTAGCTGGTGCAGCAACAGGATAAATCATTGCCTGTGGAACTGGTGACCCGGGCGTGTACACATAGGCCTGAAAAATCTCCCATTTTTCAACATAAACGCAAATCTGAGGTGGACCGTTGGCATTCGAAACAATAGTCTGTAAACGAAAAAACCTGTGGTGTGTTGACCATAACGAATGGTGGCTGCGGCGGAAAGGAATATGTATAACCATAAGTGGGAGACTGTACCAGTCCTGTTGGAGTAGCAATTGCATAATCTGCCACTAAAGAATCGGGGCATGGAGTGTGATTTCAGAATTACAAAAGTGTCTCTCCAAAATAAATACGTACCGGTAGAGTAACGCTGCGACATCCGTCTAAGAGCCGGTCCGAGATTCAGTTTGCGACCTTTGAATTCCAATTTCTCTGGCGACTGCAACATATAACAAATCTCATAATTAGTTAATCTCGGAACCAACGTATTCTAGAGTTAAATTCGCGAAATATTCGAAGAATGCCCAAGGTCTAGGTATCTCGCAACCTTAGTGCCTTGGAAAGCCTCTTAATGAAAAGAAACTAACCATTCCGCGAACTGTGTCCGCTTCGTCGTCAGTGTCAAAAGTTATAAAACCGTAGCCTTTAGATACACCGTCAGCGCTTCTGATCACTTTCACCTCCTTGATAGTAAAAAACTGTTCAAAATGCTCTCTTAGTTCCAGCTCAGTTGTCTGAAAACGAAAATATTCACTGTAAAGAGACCTGCAGTCTCATGAGGGCGATCAAACTTGGCTTGACTTGCCGTAATAAGTTTTCTAGCCGATTTTAAACCATTTCAATCACAGAAGTCCATTGCTCGTTCGGATCTTCACTATTAGCCCGAGTACTGTTCGTGAATTTTTTAAACCAGCTCCCACCTTTATTTTCGGACAAAGACTTTTTAGGGTATAGTTCGACGGCTTTAACAATTCCATTTCGTCATTTTTCTAGCACACTGCTACATTTTGTAAATAATATCGCTCACAGTACATAACGACCACAACATTGCACGTTTAGGGAGACTGCCCATTTCAGGATTTAATTTAAAAACCAAAGGAGCCCGATGCATTTACATCCAAGTGGGTGGTTCCCTTATACAGTAGTTCTATAGGAACCTTCCAGAACATTCCGAAGATGTCTGGACCGTGGGGGATGGTACGAACGTGCGTCCGAGGGTGCGCGCGGCAAATTGCGCGGCGAAGTTCGTGACGATTTGTACGACTGCGGTGCCCATTTGCGGGGCACAAACTCGAAGTAGTGTAGTTTAGTAGGGTCAGATGATCCTCCTAATCCACTCTATTTCGAACTTGGGCCCCAACGATAGCCGCCAAAGTCGTTCAAATCATTACGGACTTCGCCGCGCAATTTGCCGCGCGAATCCTCGGACGCACGTTCGTACACATACCCCTGGACCCTTGCGGAACTTTCAGTAGCCGTACATGACAACAGGCCGTGACAAGAATACATGCCATCGATCAATACGCATCCTTGGCAGGTGCCCTGTTTGAACAGATCGGACATACTTACACTGGCCGGGAAGCCGCCAACGAAAACTCGATGAGGTATGAGCTCATAGG